TACAAAAGTGCACAGTCCTTTAAGCGATTCTGACCAAGCATAGACATGTGGTTGTGTCGCTCTCAGTGATGACATTCAGGTGTTCATGGAAAGGTAAGCTTGTAATGGAGTGGAAAATTGCATCGAACAATGTCACTAATGCATAACGGTTTTCTAAGGCGTTTAGCCTTACCAGAGAAGTATATATTCAATATTGTACAAAAGGAAATCTATATCTAATTTAAATTTGTTCAATATTTGTGGGATGGCCTTTAATAACAAGTAAAAGCACTCGGCTAATTACGTGTGGAGGTGGAAGTATATAGTCTTGTTTCAGTGACAGCCAAACAAACTGTTCTGTTCAGTTAAGCGTGTACGTCAGCCACAATGAAGGTGGTTCTCTGCCTAGCTTCTGCGATGCTCCTGGTTGGACAAAGTCATCAGGTATCTACCCATCAAGGTGAGTGAAACAGAGTTATGGCTATTCTTATCGTTTTATTACTGGAAATGATATGAAATATTTATAAACCTGCTTTGTACTAGATGTGCTTTTTATAACTGGTAGTTTGAATTGGCAGCTGAGATTGTTAGTGGCTGTACCTTCTCGAAGGGTTTGTGTAAAAGTATTGTTCTCCTGAGAGGGTAAGTAAGTCCCGAAACATTCAAAATAAATTTAAACTTTTAAACAGATTTTGTAAACGTAGTATTCCTGTGATTCTAAATCATGAGTAAATTGACTTACAATCATCAGCAGCTGAAGGGATGATATAAATCCAGCGAGGGTCCATGCAGGTAGTAAAGTACTGTAAGCGTCCATGGTCCTAAATATGTATGGTGTCATTAGTATGGTGACTTCCTGCAGTTGCTAGTGATCCCCAGCCCGTTTTTTATACTGTGTTGTCCATAACAGAGGTTTAATTTTAAAGTTCCATGCTAGTTTTAATTCTCTATCAGTGATTATCTAGTTCATTTACTGTCCTTTGTCGACAGATTTTTATAATATGACTTTATCTATTATCAATATATGAATTTAGTCACGATATGGCTGAAATATCACCGGTGTGAATATAATTTTACTCACTCACTCACTTTCCTCCTGGTGATATTAGAACAGTAGACTGCGAATATATCGAAATGAAATGGAACATATATGTCAGTTCATTATAACCGTAGTCCGTTACAGGCGTTCCGGATTGATATATTCAGTAAGTGCCTCGCACTCAAACATTAAATCGTTACAAGTCAAAATATTGATTACATAACAGTCTCTGTTTCCCGCTGACTGGGTTCCGTCCTATTGCGCAACTTAGTATAATAACCAGTCCCGAAGTTTGAGACCAGTTCATTCAACTGGATACATAAATACTAATCAGTATTATTTGATACATCTAACCACTTGTATATTGCAACACTACGCTCCTTCTAATCCTTGCAAACACGTCGTACAGCGTGCTCTGTCGTACAGCGTGCACTGACAAACGGAAATCTGGAAATCGTGGAAATCTCAAAACGAGGCTCTGCTGCTAGAAAAGTTTGGCGGTCTAGTACGGACTTGATATTATATCAATCACATTGTGCGTTACAAAACTACACTGAATAAGCGCACAAAACACGTAACAGGTGTAACCAGTGAGCCAGATGAATCATTGTACGACCTCATCAAACAGGGCAGTCTGTGACGTCTTAGTTAAGGTCATGCCTACACCTCGCCATATAAAATAAGTAATACGATGTTATTAAAGTTTTGAATTAAAATTAACTTGTAAATACCATTTTCTTATGGAACAAGGGAATTGGAATTCAGTGTAACCATAGTTGTTTGTGATGTCTCTTTTTCACTTTCACACGAGAAAATTCGGATCGTCTGAAAAGTAGGTCATTGTCTGAATAGGTTCATGAGACTCATGTTTCGGTTTGATTCCCAGTTTGTTATAAGCGTGTTCTATATAAACGTAGTTCCCCTGTACTATTCAGATGTGTGGTGTGTCAAGTAATGTCCATCATCCACATCATTATTAGGGTTATGGCCCCGTTCTATGTAATTCTACGTCAGTGGTAGTGCTGGAGTTTTCGGTCACCTTAGCTCTCCGGTCGCTTCCTGCAACGGAGCTGACATACATAGTGACTCTCTTAGGTCATAGTACTATAAATACTTCCAATACCTTGCCAAGATCAGAGAATCGCTCTTCCGAAATGCACAAGGGGCAAGGGACCTTGCACACAGAGGGATTCCAGCTTGGGGACACAAGAGTGTTTCAAGTGGCCATCTTGCAGTGGTCAAGCATTGTCGATATACGATAAAGGAAGTCAGATTAAGTGCTAAGGCTCTTGTTTCCTGCAACACACTCTTTGTTCCACTCATGTCTGGTGTCCTCCGCCGTGATATTGCTGGAATATTGCTAAGTTCCAGAATGCCATCTTGAGCCAGAACGGGGCCATGCAGGGCGACCTTCCGTCGGTTCTTCTACGACCCTGAGAGCGAAACCTGTAAGAAGTTCACCTATGGAGGCTGCGGCGGCAACGCCAACAACTTCGAAACCATCGCTGAGTGTGAGAATACCTGTGTCCCAGGTAATAAATACAGAATACATGCTACACTGCGTTACACAATCATTCAATTATGTTTGGGTTTGCCATATATGTAATGACTACCTTATTTAGTCCTATATAAGTGATATATGACACAGAAGGTGGACACACTACATTATGTTTCTCATATGATGTTGCCAAGTATTGTGATATGGAAGAGTACAGTGTCCATGTACTGCTAAAATACGTTCCAGCTAGTGTGTTATGGAGGTCGAGTTACCGTCTTACGGATCCATTCAAACATATTGTGAAAGCCTTTTGTTACCTTCTTCAGTTTGCAAACTTAAACTTGAAGTCGGACGCTGCAGGGCGCATTAGCTTACCAAAGAGTACTCATGTGGTCTTGATGGAAATGGATGCTGGTGTTTCCATGATACCAATCTTGAAGAGATCAATGCATAAGACTCTTCATCTCCATTTCTACTTCTTACAGTCTGCAAACTTAAACCAGTAACCGGACCCTGCAGGGCGGCCTTCCCTCGGTTCTTCTACGACCCTGACAGCGAAAGGTGTAAGACGTTCACCTACGGTGGCTGTGGCGGCAACGCCAACAAATTCATGACCAAAGCCGAGTGTGAAAATACGTGTGTCCCAGGTAATATGCACATATATGCTACAATGCCTTAAGTGTTCATTAAATTGTTTGGGTGTGTGATGTACCAATTTTTCTGTCACAAACTAAAAAGCGTTTTATTATTTCTTTGTATATTTGTTTACAAGAGGTATGTGTGGTACAGAAGAGGGTCATACTGCGTTATCTGTCTCTCCAAGTGCTGTCAGGCGTTGTGCTAAGGTAGATTACACTGATCATCTACTGCTGATATGTGCACTAGAATGTGTTGCAGAGATCAGCTGTCAGTGAATGTAGCATAACGACACTGAACAGATCCATTTGAACAACTTTTTGAAAGCTACCTGTTTCTACATTATTCAGTTTGCGAACTTAAACCGAAAGTCGGACGCTGCAGGGCGTGGACACGTAGGTTCTTTTACAACACTGATTCCCAAAAGTGTGAGGAGTTCTTCTATGGCGGCTGTGATGGCAACGCCAATAACTTCAAGACCGTCGCTGAATGTGAGGAAACCTGCAACCCAGGTACTATATACAGAATGCATGCTACAGTGCGTCTACGTGAAATCATGATCTACCAAATGTCTCTTACATATTATATACATACATCAGTCATGTGGCACAGAAGATGTGTCCCTTGTGATGTCTTCTCTTCATAAGCCAGATCACAGTTAATGCCCTACTCATTTGAGTGCAAGGTTCTGTTGTGGACCATGGTGACCACGGTTCCAGGACAACGAGCATTAACAGTTCTATTTTACCCAAATTGTATATTCCATGTTTTGTTTGGGGGCGCAAACTTTTCCAACTTTTTAACCAGGCTGAATTTGTCTCTCCGGTGAAATTTCACCCCATCTATACATTTGTATTATTCAAAATGAACTTTCAGCCAATGATACTTAGTCTCATTGTATTTTGGTAATTCTAATGACCAATGAACATAGCTGTAGCAAATTAAGAGCCACTTGACCATGTGGGTAATTCGAAATACAATGTAATTGTCCCGCTTTACTTAATAGTGAATGCGGAATAGAGTTTCCTACAAATCTCTGATTTACGCACATGCTGTCTTTTTACTGATCAAAAACGTTTTTAAACTGACTTCAAAACATTTTTACACGTAATAGAGCACACTTGTAGTAGTTCAATGCATAACTTGAACTAGTTAAGTGCATAATTTCGAATTGCGGAATCGGAAAATCCATTCCATTTTAGTAGCACCCATTAGCTTTCCCTGGAATGTAGCGAAAGGCCGACTGTGGTTTCCTAGAATCGGTTCGAGAGCCGTGTTCAGTAACAGTACCGTGAGTGCAGAGCCCTGAGTAATACCGTCTTAGTAATCACTGTGCGAACCCACACGCTCTTATCTGTAGACGCTGGGCCGGCAGTAGCATTCGTTTCCATGGAAACGAGTAGGATTGAGTCAGTACAGGGATGGGTGAATTTCTTTGATGGGGTAGGATTCACATGACTTTTGCAAATATTCAAAATAAAATATGTCATTTATAAAAATATAAAAAATATGTCATTTTTTGATGATTCGATACCATACGACATAAGATAAAAGTAATAATTATTATATATAGGAACATGTTTCCACCGTCCGTCACAAAGTACCTCATTTCCAGATATGGTTAGAGATGACAAACACCTTTTGATATGAAATGTCATATACTGGAGACGAGTGTACCTCTTATTTTGCGATGCGAGTACCGATCTCTAACAGACGGAGGTATGGTCATCGTGATGCTCTTGAAATCAGCTTCACCCGCCAAATCACCTCACGTCCTTCTCACTACATTTACTCAGGTGACTTCAACATTGCCTTTTAAAAGGCGTTTCTTGTTTCTTCTTCATCCAGTTTGCAACCTTAAACCAGAGGTCGGACGTTGCAGAGCGGCGATCCCTCGGTTTTTCTACGACCCTGACACCGACACTTGTAAAGAGTTCACCTACGGTGGCTGTGGTGGCAACGGCAACAACTTCAAGACCAAAGCCGAGTGTGAAGACACATGCTTCTGATCTCATACTTGAATAAAGTCGTGATATCCCATTGGGCTTTCCTGTATTGTTTATCAGAGAGAGGGCGTGTAACAAACGGTCGATTTCCAAACTACCAGTTAACCAGAAATGAAATGTGAAACCAACACATAACAAAGATATGTTACCCAGATACAAACGTAGTAATTATAGCAATAGAGACAGAGATGATAAACTTCACTGCTACACTGGTCAGGCTTCCGAAATGCGTATAATACATGTAGGTAATGTACGTGAGTATGTAGTGAGTGAGTGAGTTTAGTTTTACACCGCACTCAGCAATATTTCAGTTATATGGCGGCAATCTTTAAATAATCTAGTCTAAGTAAACTTAGGCTCCAGTATTATTCGTTACACTGCTTATACTGAGTCTAACTAACTCTAGTAGAAGGTGGCGTCAGCTAACCTTTTCAATTGACCAATCAGAACACAGCTTACAAAATTGCAAAGTTGACATTCGCATATTTTTGAACTTTTACCTCGAAAAGTTTGCACCCGAACGATTCCGAATGCTATTTTCCGCACGATTGCTTCCGAGTGAGGCAAATGGAGCGCACGCCACTACAGTGAGTAAACAGTCGCTGAAAATAGCGTTTTTGTCAATATTCAAGGATGTCAGCTTGCGGAAATATTAGCTAATGGTAGCCATGCCATCAGAAAGCCCTCAGCGTATATACTGGAGGTCAAATATCTGTGTTTTATGCGGATTTTCGTTTGTTGAGAGATCAGTGTCAGTGACCGGGAATTTTGTAAGTCCCGCCGAACCCAAAAAGTAGTCGATGTCTGATTGGTTAAATCCGTTTGGCTTTATCGCATTTGATTGGACGGTCATAGGTCGCTGAAAGGTTAGCTGACGCAACTAGGGTTTGTTAGACTCAGTATAGCAGTGTAACGAATAATGCTGAGCTTAAGTTTACTTAGACTGTAAATAAACGATTCTGGACCAGACAATCCAGTGATCAACAGCATGAACATCAATCTACGCATTTGGGATATGATGACATGTGTCAACCAAGTCAGCGAGTCCTGACAACCCGATCTCGTTAGTCGCCTCTTACGACAAGCTCGGGTTACTGAAGATCAGTTCTAACCCGTATTTTGTCAGCAAGTTGACTATGAATGCTGTTGGATTACTGCGGCTGAACTAATTGCAGGATTCTGTTTATTATGGTTTCAAGACCGCCTCCGTGGTGTAGTGGTTAGAGCATCCTCCCGAGAGCGGAAGGTCGCGGGTTCGATCCCCGAGCGCGTCATACCAAAAGACGTTAAAAATATGGTACTTGTTGGTCCCTGCCTGGCGCTCGGCATTCATGGGTACAACAAGGACTGGTCGACTCGGAGTCAGTATAATAATGTGTCTGAGTGGGGTATTCATGCTTCACTGCGGCATGGTATCTCATTGGGCTAGCACTATAAAACCAGCTTCAGTCTGGGCTAGTACAAGCAGCCGCACGTACACAATACACGCGCATGCACGTCGTCATATGAGGCGAAATATTCTCAAGTACGACGTTAAACCTAATTTCACCTCACCTCACCTATTATGGTTTCAATATGAAATCACAATGCAGCTTTGGCGTGTAAACGTAGACTCATTCACAAATATACGCTGAAGATAAAATCTAACCCGGATCTTCACGGGTGTGTAAGTATGTAACCCACTATTGTATCTATCAGTCCCCTCATGCACAAACACGTATACACACACGCACCGACGCACACATGCGCATGTTTCTCATAGATTGAGAAGTACACAGACTGGCAATAAAACGAGTAACTATACTAAGTCGTCATCAGACCGCCAATGTCCCAATCCACATGGCGACAAGTAGCAAATAGGGTGGGAGCGGAACCTGCTTTTGGTTGATCCCGTTGATCCGATAATGTATGCAGGATAACCCATGAACATGTTAATGTAGGCATGACGTCACAGGTCAGGAAAGGTCAATGAAAGGTGGATGTTTGAATGCGTTCATGCTTTCTTACAGAAACCCTTATATGAGACGAGGGAACAAAGCAACGTATAATGAATATAGCTATGTATAGCGTCATGCCCTGAGTAGACAGACAGCACCTGTCAGCCCAGTTTGAATTGAGCGCGCTTGACAACTCACATGAACCCGTCGTTTCAAATAGCCCGCGCTTAGCTATCAGAGTGTGTGACCTGTTTTGATGAATACACGGGGAATTGTGTGTTGAAAGCTGAATACAGGGTGTGTGTTGAAAGTAGATCTACCACAACGGAGAGACGGGTGGTATCAACTTATCGTTTGGGAGTCGGAATGTACAAGTCATGCAAATGTAGTTGAATAAATTTCATACAGAACGCGTCCTGACCCATCTTGAAAAGTTGAACCCAATGTTTAAATGTTATCGACATATGTTATGCTAGATTTTCCGTTCATATATAATTTTTATATAATCTAACATGATGTATACAGCATGTGTGTGTGTGTATATATAAACGGCATTCTGTTTTATTTATCTATGCAATATTTATGACTGAACACCTGTACTACTTTGGACATTTTGTGCGTATATATATATATATGTAATGTATCATTTAGAAAACTGATTAGTCGTGTGTGTGTGTGTGTGTGTGTGTGTCGTATGTGTGTGTATTGTGTGTCGTGTGTGTGTGTGTGTGTGTGTGTGTGTGTGTGTGTGTGTGTGTGTGTGTGTATGTGTGTGTTGTAGTGAAAGCTAAAACTGTTGTATTAAGGTCAGACATGCCTTATCACAGTTCACAGATATGTTACTATGTCCTGGAGTCGGAATGTACAGGAAAGGAGAAAATACATCAGTTACACAAATAACAACAAAGTTGAGATTTGGTCAGATTACAGATTGGGCATGTCATTACTTACACAGTCTTACTTAAGCAGTTCGGTAAAGACCTGAGTAGCTATCAAGGCTTGACGATGACTGCTATGTATTTATGACTGCCTGAAAATGTCATCTTCCAAACTTGATCGCATTCAGTCAAAAGATTTTGGGAATATGCACGAGGTGACTTTGTAACTACCCCAGTTACAGCTCTGGATGTGTAGAGATCACTCTATTTCTTCGTCGTGAACTCAACTCTCTCGACCTTGGAGTAGAAAATTCTAAAACCATCTATAATTCATCTATAATTGTGAACAGTTGTGTAGAGTATGTCGTGTGCGACTGTCACGTGAAACAAGGTCCCTTTTGCTTTGAGTATTCAAGAAGCTTGCCACTAAGCATTAAGCAATGGCTTTAGGAATGCAATCCAGTTGATTGCTCTGCTCCTTCAGATGCTCCTTGACTGCTTCTGAAATCCAGGTCTTTGTTATGATCTAAGATTCTGGCCATAACCAACTGGAGGGGGCGGTGGGGGTAGCCTACCTAGTGGTTAAAAAGCGTTCGCTCGTCACGCCGAAGACCGGGTTCGATTCCCCCACATGATTTTTAATGTGTGAAAGCCCATTTCTGGAGTCTCCCACTTAAGTGATATTGCTGGAATATTACTAAAAGCGGCGTAAACCTAAACTCCCTCACTCATAAACAAAAGAATGGATTCAAGTGTTACATAGAAGCTGTGTGTCTCAGGATTTTTATAAGTCAACAGTATGCCAACTTCACACGGCCTTGGTTCGAAATACTGGGGCATATTGGATTCCAGACTAACTGACCATCTCTCAGTATTTGCTGGTGTACTCATAGATTTTCCCTACAGGGTTGTAAAATGAATGTGATCAATAGGCAGTTATAGTAACTCCATGGCAGCTGTTAAGGCACTTCCGCATCTGGTATCAATAGTTCAGAAGTGACATTGTTTTATGAGAGATATTAAAAGCTGGATACATTGATGAATTTATATACATGTAATGTGATGCAATGTTGGGCTGGAAGGAGATGAGACTAGCAGAGTCAACTTGCAAAATCTGGCTTGCACAAAATCCTGAAGAAACGCTATCGGAATTCAGAACCCAACCAAGCATATTCAGTCTAAGTGAAAACTTAGGCTCCGGTAGCTGTATTCGTTACACTGCTATGCCAAGTCTAACAAAACCTAGTAGAAGGTCGCGTCAGCTAACCTTTTGGATTGACCAATCAGGAACAACACCAAATCGCGAAAGTTAACATTCGCGCACATACCGTTTGAACCTTTACCTAAAAAAGCCGAACGATTCCGAATACTGTTCCGCGATTGGCTACCGAGGGATACACTTTTAATGAGTAAACAGGTCGCTGAAAATACCGTTTCTGTCAATATTCCAAGGATGTCGCATCTTGCGAAAATATAAGCAAATACTAACCATATGTCATTAGAAACCCATAAGCGTATATATACTGCAGGTCAAATATCTTTTTATGCGAATTTTCGTTTGTTGATAGATCAGTGTCAGCGACCAGAAGAGAAAATCAAAACCGTTTTGTAAGTTCACGCCGAACCCTAACAAGTAAGTCGTTGTCACGATTGGTTAAATCGAGGGTAATCTACAACAAAGCGTCTTATAGTCTCCCTGGTTAAAATCCGTTGGGCCGTCTCGCGTTTGATTGGACGGTCATGGAGTCGCTCAAATGTTAAGCAAGCGGCCTTCAACTAGGTTTTGTTAGACTCAGTATAGCAGTGTAACGAATAATACTGAGCCTAAGTTTATAGACTGACTGCATATTAGTAACAAGAGTTGTGGGATGCTGGGACTGATGGCTGACACATTTATTCATATAAAATCAAACGCGAGGGAGGTCATAATTACTGGATAATGTGGATTAAATGCATACAGCAATGTCACTAATACAGAGTGTGATGAAAATACTCTCGAGACAGTGAAACATTATATAATTGAATACCCGGGTCACAATAATATCTAATTAAATTTAAGACGCGCAGTACTTGCTAAATTTATCTTAGTGCACTTTTGGTTCAAAACAGATTTTATGGATCAATTCAGCGGGCAAAATAGAGCTGCATGGTTAAAAGCGATATATATTTTAAAATTGGATAAAGACATATTAAGATTTTATTCAATTTTAAACCATTTA